CAGCTTTTTTTTAACTCATGTAATCAGAAAAGGGTGGCACAACCAATATACTGTCAGCTAAACTGGAAACATAATGAACAAATGTCGACTCTAGTACCTATATCTAGAATTTTCTCAGGACTTCTATGTCGCCATCAACTTATCTATTTTGAGTTAATCCAAGTCTCATCACAACAGCCAAAACAAAGAACCAGATAGTTAAATTAAGCAAATTAAGAATAAGATTAGGAACCAACCTCACTCTCATGGTGAAGAAATTGATGCCCTTATCAAGTGTATCCAACAGAAATAGAGTTTGAGTCACCATGTTATCCGCACTTGCCATGCTATAGTTCTCCAGGTCATATGGCTGCAATAAAAAACCAACAGAACAGAGTTTACAAACAAGAACCAGAAAACACTATTATTAGCCTACAGATGGAATAAAACCCCTGAAGAACGATTAACATGTCAGAAATCAATTTGTGAACTTCCAGGCAATTCACTGTATGATCTAGGTAAACTTAACTAGTGAACGTGATGTGTCAACCATAATAAGGTAGTAATTGTCCAACTCTCTGCACCCACTTCATGCAAAATCATAGTTCATACCACCAGAACATTAAAAAAATTCCACTGCTGTAGAATCCTCTAAAATCAAATACACCAGCCACAACCCACAACTCAGACCACACTGTGTTTTGTCCTACTGCACCTTACAGCTTCACAAGGCATGTTCCACGGTTCAAACTTGTATGAAACAATGTAAAACATCGAAACTAGACGCAAATGCAAATGCAAAATCCATCACCTTGAGTTGGTCAAACAGCTGACCGAAGTGCAGACGCACCGCACCAAGCAGTTCCTGGATAAAGTCATCGGACTGGCAAGGGATTCCGGTGGCCTCGGTGATGCGGGACCCGACCTTGGGCTGGGCGACGCCGACGGTGAACTTGCCCTTCTTCCACTCCTTCACCTTTGGCAGGTTGAGCACCAGGAAGTTTACCAACTCGTCGGTCGTGATCCCTGAGCCACCAAAAGAGCACCCACACGCAATTCGCTCGTCACGGGAGCCATAATAAAGCAGGGAGGCTTGGCACGATGATTCCACCGGGGGAGGACACGATACCTTCGGAGACGGCGTTGCACTGGTTGATGGCGTCGACGGCGGAGAGGAAGGGGGTGAACCTGGCGAGCTTGACGGCCCTGCTGAACCGCTTGAGGTCCAGCAGGGTGGGGCGGACGGCGTCCACGGTCTGCCCGATCTTGCGGATGCCGGAAGCGTGGAAGAGCGCGTACCCCGACGCCGACTCGAAGAGCAGGTAGAGCGTCATCTCGCCCGCGCGCTTCGCCGGCGACGGCCGAGGGGTTTGGGAGGCCCGGCGGGGGCGGGGAAGAGGCTAGGGTTTAGGCGAGGGGTGTGGGCTTCGCCGGGGCCTTACTTCTTTTTTTCTTGAGTTGGACACCGGGGCCTTAATTATGATGGTGGGGTTTGCGTTGGCGCTACGGTGGCAGGCCTCGGCCGTCCGATTGGGTCTATGCACGAATCCGATTCTCTGAGCGCTCGTGTGCTATCCTGATTGTCATCTCTTGGAGGCCACGTTGGGATCGGCACCATCGCAAGTGTGGCGTTCTATTCGGAAGAGACATCTTGGCTTTTGGTTTAATCGAACGAATTGGATGGTGAAAGAAACGTCTAAAGTATGAGATTTTGTATGGCGACTGGCACATACCTCTCTTCCTACAGGTTCAGTTCGCCATGAGAAACGATGTCGGCGACGTCCCCCGAGCCAGAGTTGGAGGCACACAAGAAGGTAAGAATGAACCAAGATAGAAGCGGCACTGAGGAAGAACCTTAGAGGTCTGGGTAGAGGTGTGTTGATGCTGGAGAAGAACAAAATCGACCCTAGACCTAGAAGGACGGGCGAGGAGAAAGTGGACTAACAATTGCGATGGCAGTAGGGCCAGGGCCCTTAGGGTTCTGGGGGGAGGCATGCAGACGTCAGAGGAGAAGAAAGACCCCTAGACTTAGAAGGATGGCCAAGGAAGTAGTGGACCAACAGTTGTGATAGCAATGGGACGGGGCCCTTAGGGTTCTAGAAGGAGGTGTGTCAACGTCAGAGAAGAAGAAAGGCCCTTGGACCTAGAAGGATGGCCGAGGGGGCAGTAGATTGACATCTGCAAGGGCGGCAGGGTCACCCTGGGCAGATGGCCGGATGGATCCATGCATCATTGTTGACTCATCGAGCAAACCAGCGAGCGTTGGAGGTGAGTCCAGGACATGAGTGAACAGCGGCAGTTCTGACAATGTTGAGATCATCTCAAACAACTCACAAAAGAACTCCTGAGCATTTATTGGGGCTTCCCGTTAACACATTTGTTTGAAAAATAACAACTTTATTAATTGGAAATAAAGGTTACATCGTCTATAGGAAAAGGTACAATATCGCCCATAGGCTCCTCAAACCACTCATTTGTCGCGGAAACTCTCGCTAACCTAGTTTGTTCATGCGCAACCCTGTTCGCTTCCCTATTACAGCGTTCAAAACTAGTGAGAGGAAATCACAAGCCAAAAGATAATATTCATCAAAAACTGCCGTCAGCGCTCCAGCAAATTATCCTACGTTCTTCATTGTGTCGATGATTTCCAGAGTTTATTACCAGGCGATTGCATCCCGCCTTTTATGCCGGAGATAAGCCAAACCTTAGAGCCAAAGCTTCTGTTGTGAAAACATCCACACAACAATCAATCTTTCAATTTTCGCCGATGATGAAATTTCCTTTATCATCTCTAAAGACAACTCCTGTTGTGCCCCTATGCTGGTCATGATCAAAATATGCATGAACATTCAGCTTAACAAAACACATAGAAGGTTTAATCCACCCCCCTCGTTTACTGGTTCCATTAGGGGAGTTAGCGTTCACAAAATTATCCGTTATAGCCTCGACCCCCATGGATGTGTGGCATGCATCTTTGAACTTTCCCTCATGGACCAGCTTACACTGTCCCACCATAGATACCACGCGGTTATAGCAATCATTTCATGTACATTCTGGAATCCCAAATTAGATAAGTCCTAGTCTGGCATAAGGAATAAGAAGTCAAGTACCGCCTCACCCGCACGATCAATAGCACAATCTTTTTTAATCACCTCATTCATCCCCAACTTATCCCAAGCCTCCTTTGCTTTCTAACAAAGAAACGGAACGTGTTTTGTATCTTCTGGCCCGTTCAAACATGATGGGCAGATTGGCGAAACTTTCATGTGTCTATTTGCAAGCATAACACGACACGGGAGAGTTCCATGCAATGTATGCCAAATAAAAATCTTGACCTTTTTGGACATGAAAGTTTTCAAATCTTACACCAGATAGGGTTAACATTGGTTCTACCCATACCATTTATATATTGTAAGTTTCTCCCATGTTGATGATCCCATTCCGCCAAGTAAGCATATCGAACAATGAACAAACCATTTTTTATATAGCTCCAAGCAATGAAATCCGACATATTATGCATAGAGAGGAATATCTAGAACTCTTTGAGCATCAATTGGCAACATTGTTTGCTTCACCAAATCTTCATCCCAAAAATTTGTGACTGGATCAATAAGATCTGAAACATTGGACATAAGGTGCCCTCCTCTAGAAGTAATAATTTTCCTATTTGCACAATTCGGGATCCATGCATCTTTTCAAATATCGATATTCCGTTCATTTCCAAGTCGCCAGATATAACCATTTTTCAATGAGTTAACTCCAGCCATAATGCCTTGCCACGTAACAAAGAGCCCCTTTTTAAGCTTGCATTCATCAAATCGCCAACAGGAAAATATTTAGCTCTCAAGAGAAAAGGCATATAGAGAATCTGGATTATTAAGGAGACACCATGCTTGTTTAGCTAGTAATGTTAGATTTAAATAATGAATATCCCGGAATTCCATGCCTCCTTGATTTTTTGGAACATACATCTTTCACCAAGCCATCCAATGCATTGTCTTCCGATTGTCCTCGTCTTCCTATCAAAATTGTGACATTGCATCAAGGATTCCTTTGCAAAAAAAAGTTACGAATTTTGAAGACGGACATGACATAGGTGAGGATAGATTGTACAATAGATTTGCGCAAAATTTCCTTCCCTTCAACGGATAACATTTTTTCTTTCCATCCATTATTTTTTTAATAATACAGTCAACCAGGAACTGGAAACACTCGCTTTTGTCCATACCCATGTTGGCAGGCAACCCTTAGTATTTGTAACTGAGAACTTCAGTCATAATATTGAGAATCAAACAAATTTACGTTGTCTTCCACTCTTTTGTCGGGCTAAAAAAGATGATAGATTTTTCAATACTCACCATAAGGTGGCGGCACAATAAGCGTCATTTGAAAGCCTCCGCATTCATGGTATTGACTCGCATAAGAATCAAAGAATCATCAGCAAAGAGGAGATTCAAAATCAATGGGGCAACCTTTACTCAAGACATGTTTCTATTCTAGTAGTCCAGCCCTCCGTTGTTATTGCGGATGGACGCTTTAGCAGATCCCCAATAATCTCAAACCTCCCTGGTCATTGGAGGGCATATTGAGGGCAGGCCAACTCTCCCACCATATAGGGAAAGATGAGAATTTTTTGCTTCTTTTTCTTTCGCATCTATCCTTCCTCTTACTAATACTCATACAGAATCTTCTTGGAAATTATAGCCAATAACATGTATATAAGCAGTGGTTTCAAATTCATTGGTCCCGCTACTAATGTGATCATTGATCATTCAGCTACTGCCGGTGCCAGCAATGCCATCCCATTTATAACTAGGAAAGCTTAAGCCATTCCCAATAAACGCCATACTGCAACATCAAATGTAATACAGATTCGCCGCTTCAGTCCATGCCACGCTACATTACAGACCTCATCAAGGGCTCAAAGAGGCTCAAAGAGTACACACTTAAACAGTCGGTACAAAAAATTTCATCCTCAATCGGCTTCAACATTCGCTGCTAGGTACTAAGGTACTAATCTACTACTCGTCGTCGTCAGTCTTGGATTTCTTCTTCTTTTTCTTGGATTTCCCCTCTGTGCCTGTCTTAGGATCAACAGACTCGGCTTCACGGTTCTTCTTTTTCTTCTTCTTAGGGGTCTCATCATCGCCATTGGCTTGCATCTCCTCGTCCTTCGGCTCCTCAAGCTTGTGCTTCTTTTTCTTTTTCTTCTCGGTTCCAGTTTCAGCTTCTGCCGTGGCATTCTCAACGTCCATCGCGTCACCGTTAGCCTCAGCTTTGGACTTCTTCTTCTTGCTTTTCTTCACAGATGCGTCACCATTCTCTTTGCCTGTGAATGAATTTTTGGGTAGACAATTATGCTGGATTGATAAAATAAAGTAAGCAATCAGGAGATGAACGAAATAACAGATCTATCCTTACCGTCATTATCCTCTGTGTTTGTCAAGCCATCAATAGCAGCTTTCATCACATCAAGGTTCTTGCGGGGTGCAACACCCTTATCATAGAAGTCTAGCCTCTCCTCAACTTGTTCACGCAGCTTCTCGCCGAAAATGGAGCTACTCATATCTGGAATTCATAACCCAGTGAGAAAACCAATCAGATAAGGGGATCAGAATGTGTAGCTTTAGCAAACAAAGCTCTTCAACTAACCTGAATAGCAGTCAATACGTGAAGCAATGGAACATTTGTTTGCAAGGTATCGGGCCATCCTTCCCTTGTTCTTGGTTGATGCACGACCAATAAAAGATGAGTGGAATATGAGGCCATACTTTGGTGTGTTTCCACGTGTTTTGAGAGCTCTGCGGTACAATTAGGAATAGGAAATGAATCACAAGGTTTCAGAGGCTTAAAGGACTATTTTTGAATACTTAAAAGAACAGTGAATAAGATGCTCGAATACATAAGCAGTACAAGTATCAACTACCTAAAGAGCGCCTTTTCAGCACCCAGTATCTGCAGAGTAGATGCAGGGCATTTTGCAAGATTTGAAAGACTGCCAGCATGAGAGATTAGCCGGGCTCCAACCATTTCACCAATCAATGACGTCAGGTTTGGTGCAATATCATTCATCTTTGTCACCAGATACTCATAGAGATTTTTACGGTACTCAGATAGATTCATGACCCTCTGAGCAAACTGTTGGACATTGATCAAATCAACAGGTGAAAGATCCTGGCCTAACAATACAAAGGAGATTGAGTAAGCCACAATGTCACCACCCAAACTACAGAGAAGCAAAAGTAACTGTGGACATATTTGTTACCCATAGATGCCTTTGCTGCCTCAACAATTTCTTTTGCCTTGTCTTCATCTCCAATTAGATCCGCTAAAGCTGGAATGTCCTTCTCCGACAAGTCAGATTTGTTTACCACAAACTTGGCAAGCTTAGCATAGAGGTAATTGTCATTCACAATCTTGACCAGCTCAGGAAAATGCCATCCATACCACTCCCTGCATTATAGATTAACAGCCGTTTAATATCTGCACAACTGCCACCATCATCCATGATGGAGTAATATATAGGTGTGTGGAAGGGGAGAGAAGGGCATCTCACATAGCCATACCACTCCCTTCTATTTGTAATCACATTAGCACAAATATACATGAACCGAAAGCGTAATGAACAAACGTGGATTCAAACACCAATGCCTTGAATATTACAGATACTTATACTAGATACACATTGAAACGAAATCAAGGTGATTACAAGTGCTGACACAACATCTAAACTGAAGCATAGAACAAGTTAAATAACAGAAAGGGTGAGGAACCAACCTCACTCTCATAGAGAAGGAATTGACATCCTTATCAAGTGTATCCAACAGAAAGATAGCTTGAATCACCATATTATCCACACGATTCACATTGAACTTCACCTTGGCCCTGCTATAGCTATGTCCCAGACCTAGCTGGGCCTTCTCCAGGTCAGATGGCTGCAACCGAAAAAACAAAAGGAATAAATAAACAAACAAGCAAGAATGAAATTAACACCGTCGATACATCTATGGTGCACACAAAATAGTTGCAGGCTAATGAGCAGCCCTGCTACAACTTTAGTATACCATCAGCTATATAAAAATCTGCATAGATGCCATCCGCTCTGTAGTGAGCAAAGTCATGCAAGATCAGATTTTTAATTTCCATGACTGTCGTTTAACCAGGACAATTAATCTGCATAGAGGTTGTTTAACCTCTGATAAACAACCAGTTAACAGGTGCTAACTGTGAAAACATACCACAGCAACAGCGCAAGATACCATTGACCCTAGTACAGTCTGAACTCCCCATCAAACATACAACAGAAATAGGCGCATTAGTAAATCCATCACCTTGAGTTGCTCAATGAATTGATCGAAATGCAGCCGCACTGCACGAAGCAGTTCCTGGACATAGTCGTTGGACTGGCAAGGGATTCCGGTGGCCTCGGTGATGTGGGACCCGACCTTGGGCTCCATGACGCCGACGGTGAACTTGGCCTTCTTCCCCTCCTTCACCTTGGGCAGGTTGAGCTCCAGGAAGTTCCTAAGCTCGTCAGTCATGATCCCTGAACCAACAAAATCAGCACCCACACATCATTGGGCCGTCACGGGAGACTAAAAGCAGGGGACTTGGCACGAGGACTCCACCAGGAGAGGAGGCGGGGGGACACGATACCTTCGGAGATGGCGTTGCACTGGTTGAGGGCGTCGACGGCGGAGAGGAAGGGGGTGAACCCGGCGAGCTTGACGGCCTTGCTGAACCGCTTGAGGTCCAGCACGGTGGAGCGGACGGCGTCGACGCTCTGCCCAATCTCGTCGATGCCGTGCGCGTGGAAGAGCGCGTACCCGGAGGCGGACTCGAAGAGCAGGTAGAGCGCCATCTCGCCGCGCGCTTCGCCGGCGGCGGCTGAGGGGTTTGGGGGCGGAGGCGGGGGAGAGGTTAGGGTTTTAGGGAGAGGGGAAGGGGAATGCGTTTCCCGGGGGGCATATTTATGGTGGGTTCTCGTTGATGCCTGGGCCGTTCGATTGGATCAATGGTCCATATCGAAACCATCTTTTTTTAATCTAATTTAAAAAAGGGCTGAACCAAACACAATGGCGATGATTTGTGCCATGCGTGAAAGATGTAAAAACTCGTGATTTTCTTTTTGCAGGGTTGTAATTATCCCAAAATATAAGATTTGTTTGCATTTTGACCTTTTATATTTTTTTGGTGTGCATGTTTCAAAAAATATATATCTTCAATGCGTGTTTTTTACTACATTTTACTACGTGTCTAAAAGGCCCGCGTTACAAAGAAGTATTGAAATGTTTTTTTTTGTGGCGAGCGGAAAACTTTAATTACTCAGACCCCAATAGGATTATAATCATAAGTAGCAAACTTTAAAGCACGTGGCGGAGCTGAATTTAACCAAGTCATAATTCTAGCGCAAACGTAGCTAGAAAGTCACTAACTTTATTCTGGGATTTGCGAACGTGAGTAATACTAGTCTCCTGGAGAGACGTCAAATACTTAATCTCCTTCACCAGAAAAGCAAAGATTGATTTGTCAATGTCATAGTAAGATAGACATAATGGAATTATTTCTACATGCCATATTAGTGGTCGAAAAAATAAAACTTGGTTGTGTGTAATAATGTGTCTTATTTTAAGATTGATGGGGTATTCATGGGCCTATTTGTTATGTTTTCTGTAAATTTGGAGCCATGTCAATCGATACCAAATAAAGATTGTCACATGGAAAGAAGTTTTATTCGTGGAACGACAACTTAACTTATAATAAAAATAATTACCAAGTGAGCAACAAACATTGGGTATACATCATCACTTCACGGGGACTGATAGCCGACTGCAAACCGCAATCTAATATTTAGAGGTTTTCGTGATATAACACTTAACTGGAATGAGAAACTTAGTCTAAAGTCCACTATTGCTAGAGTTACAGGCATATATGGTATCATGTGGTTGGCTGGTTGGAATTGGGGGGGGGGGGGCATGTCGTAAAATGAGAGGCAATTATTGGGGATTGTAGGGAAAATGCCCTTAACCATTCTTCCGAAAACACTTGTCCGTAAGTCTACCAATTTCGGTCTAAAGCGAGAGGTTGTCGTGATGTGGATGCAGATGATGGTTGAATTCTTCTCCACACAAGTGATGTTTTTGTTAGACTTGTATGAAATTCCCGCTCGCCTTTTATTACTTTTCTAATGATTTAAACGATTTTGAAGATGCACACCAGGCCTACCGCGTGGCACTCACCTTTTATTATGAAATAATGTCATGCACCACTACAGATCCAAAATAGCACTGACCCCTCGTCATTGACCGGCCCTTGACCACGCGTCACTGATGAGATTTAACACCGAGCGGCCTCCCAAAGGGTGTACCTTAGCACAATCCGGTCTAGAATTGACCGATTAGTTATAGAGTGTCACCATGATCAAATTGGACCGACGGTATTTGCTGACTAACCACTATATTTGACAAGTTTGTATAGCGTGTTTATTATCTTACCCTTTGCATTTCCACTAGCCAGTGTTGTTCTGTGTGTGGCCTGTTATAATCCTCCGTCCACTCCTTGTCTACATTCCATACCTTCAATGTCACCATCGAGTCCCACCTTCCCTTTGCCTCCCTCTTATTCCTCCTCTACCTCCAACCGCTGATCTATGGCGGCATGGAGTCTGCCTTTTCCTCTTCTAACAAACTTTCTGTCCCTAGTGGCTCATTCTCGGTGATAATCAGATCGTATCTCTACTATCGTTTGGACCCAATAATGATCTTAGATCTTGTATCAAGGTCCCCTTGGATGTTATGGGACCTAGTTGTAATTTTACCTTTTTGTGTCCTGTAGTGAGCTTTATACCATCCTTGTTGCAAAATTAATGAAGGCTCTGGGTCGTTCGTGATCCTACCATGTTAAAAAAATCCAGAGGTCTTGTTGTGCAACTGCTTTAAGAATGATGGTGAGCTTTTTACAATGGCCCTGGTATTGCCCTTGTTGGGCATATGGGTAGTTCTTTCATATCCAGTGCATGCAATCCAAGGATTCAAGCATAGCTGAAACCCTCTTTGATTCTCCAAGAGCTACTAGTCTTGCTGTGTCATTTGGTTCACTCATGTACCTTGGTTCAAACACTTTAACCACTACAGTAGCAAATCTGATTGTGACTTCGAGATGTGAGCTTTTAGACATCCGAAGATCCTCGTTCCACGAATCTGTGGTCGTGTCATAAGCAATCATCCTCATAGCAGTCATGAACTTCTGGCAACTAGATAATCCAATGCAGTCAACGACATCCTTCTTCGGCTTGAAGAAATCATCATAGGCCCTGAAACCTTGGTAGATGCATTGGAACACATGTTGCTGCATCCGGGATCAACAGAGTAAATAGGGTTCGAATAACGCATCGGGGGGAAGTAGTCATCGTATAACATCATATGCTCCTTTGCCTTTCGCCGACTCCACACTTGATGTCCCTTTATTGAGCACTTGTAGTTGAGAACATGCTCCTCTTCACACTCCGCGTTTTCAAAAATCGCCCTCATCATCCTTATCCAACGAAGATGAATCCATAAACTCAACGTAGAAGTACTCCTCGTCTGAATCCATCTTGTTTGCTTCAAAGTAAACAACGAGAGCATAAAAAAATTGACCATGACATTTGTCTGAACACATGTCAGGCATGGTGTTCGCCATGGACAATGTCGGCAGGGCAGAGGGTTGTGATACGTCTCCAACATATCTATAATTTTTTATTGTTCCATGCTATTATATTATCCATCTTGGATTTTTATATGCATTTATATGCTATTTTATATGACTTTTGGGACTAACCTATTAACCTAGAGCCAGTATCAGTTTCTGTTTTTTCCTTGTTTTTGAGTTTCGCAGAAAAGAAATATCAAACAGAGTCCAATTGACCTGAAAATTTATGGAGAATATTTTTGGAAAAATATAAAAAATACTGGAACAAAAAGATATCGAAGAAGAGTCCCGAGGCCACCATAAGGGTGGAGAGCGCGCCCCCGTCCTTGTTGTTGCCTCATGGGCCCCCTTGACTTGTCCCCGACACCAACACCTCCTATAAATCCCAAAACCTCCAGAAATAAACCTAGATCGGAAGTTCAGCCGCCGCAAGCCTCTATAGCCACCAAAAACCAATCGGGAGCCCGTTCCGGCACCCTGCCGGAGGGGGAAACCATCATCGGTGGCCATCTTCATCATCCCGATGCTCTCCATGACGAGGAGGGAGTAGTTCACCCTCGGGGCCGAGGGTATGTACCAGTAGCTATGTGTTTGATCTCTCTCTCATGTTCTATATTTGGCACGATCTTGATGTACCGCGAGCTTTTATTACTATAGTTGGATCATATGGTGTTTCTCCCCCTCTATCTTCTTGTGATGAATTGAGTTTTACCTTTGAGGTTTCACTATTATCGGATTGAATACTATTATGGATTTGAGAACACTTGATGTATGTCTTGCGTGGGATACCCGTGGTGACAATGGGGTATTCTATTGATTCACTTGATGTACGTTTTGGCACTAAACTCGCGGATTCCCGAGGTGACATTGGGGTAATCTATGCATAGGGGTTGATGCACGTTTTCGTCCTTGGTTCTCCGGTAGAAATCTTGGGGCACTCTTTGAGGTTCTTTATGTTGGATTGAATATTATGGATCTGAAGTTGTTAGATGCATATCGTATAATTGACCCACGGATACTTGTGGTGACATTGGAGTATCTAGGTGATATTACGGTTGATTGATGTGTGTCATATGGTGTTATTTTACTACGAACTCTAGGGTTGTTTGTGACACTTATAGGAATAACTTAATGGATTGATCGGAAAGAATAACTTTGATGTGGTTTCGTACCCTACAAGCAATTTCATCTTATGTTCTCCGCAATAGGAACTTTGGAGTGACTTTTGCCGCACGTTGAGGGATTGCCATATGATCTAATTATGCTATCATTGTTGAGAGAACTTGCACTAGTGAAAGTATGAACCCTAGGCCTTGTTTTCAAGCATTGCAATACCGTTTTCGCTCACTTATACCACTTGCTACCTTGCTGTTTTTATATTTTCATATTACAAAAACCTTTATCTACCATCTATATTACGCTTGTATCACCATCTCTTCGCCGAACTAGTGCACCTATACAATTTACCATTGTATTGGGTGTGTTGGGGACACAAGAGACTCTTTGTTATTTGGTTGAAGGGTTGTTTGAGAGAGACCATGTTCATCATATGCCTCCCATGGATTGATAAAACTTAGGTCATCCACTTGAGGGAAATTTGCTACTGTCCTACAAAGGTCTGCGCTTGGAGGCCCAACACGAGTCTACAAGAAGAAGGTTGCGTAGTAGACATCAGGTTGTTGGGTGGCGACCGATCCAGGGTGTGGCGGCGTAGGCAAAGCCGGACGAGCATCTAGGTGAAGTGTCGGAGGTCCAGCCAGGCCTAGGAGGCGCCCGGGATGGTACTGTTGGAATTTTGCCTATTTATGGGCCAGCCCAATAACTATTTCAGAATTTCCTAATAAATCCTAGAGGCCCACTTAGCCTATTCGTGCAAGGCAAGGGGCACTACTAAAGTTTATTCCCACATTGCTAGTTTAGAGGGAGTTGGACCTCTTTATAAGGGAGGTTCTTTCTCCACATGTACAAGCATGAGAACAAGAGGGACACCCCACGCGCGCTCCTCCTCCGTTGTCCGCCTTGCCACGCCACGCCACGCCATGCCTCGTCACGACGCGTCGCGGGTTGCGGGAATGAGCCAAGCCGATGTCTAAATTTTTGCCACGCACGGCGGGTATACGAAAGGTCACGCGGGAGCTGAAACGTTTTCTGTAGTGGACACTGAATCCGAAC